CACTGGCCTCAGTTTTCTGAGCCATTCTTCAGTTAAAGAATGTGATTTTATCATGTGAATTTTTGAAGGCTTCTTAAATCATTTTGCAACAAAGGTGGGATATAAATTAATTTGTCAATGAATTTTATACACTATAGTTAATCTTACATAATACAAAGGACAATATTATCAACCCTTCCTATAATATATGGATTCACAAGATAAAATTGTATCATGGTCTTTTTAAAAACTTATAGATAGATTTAGACTCCCAATCTTATTTTTTTCATTTGTTACCGAGTAAGATTCACATATGCTACATAAAATAACCCTCAATAATCCTGAAGTGTTGGCAGTCAAGACTAGTTGAATGAGTAAAAACTTTAAAATGAAGAATAATAAAATAAAAATTTATGGAAAAGTATTTTAAAATAATACTTCCTGTAACCTATTCTAATGATGCAAGTTATTACTCTGATCATCCAAGTTGATCATTTATCATTGGACACACCATATACTCTCAAAGAATTAACACTGTAATGCTCACACCACTCCAAAGGACATGCACTCTTGTTTATTTTTCAGTGGGAAAGGATTGGTACTAGGAGAAAAAAATTATTACATGTCTAAGCATAAAAAACTTTAAATTAAACTATCTGAACAAAAATGCAAACAGTTTTCCTAATTTGCTCATTTAAAAATGAGTCCAATGTGTACATTTGGGGCCTGTGTTTTTTTTCCTTCACTGTTTTTTGGTTGTGAGTTCATGTGTGTGTGCGTGTGTGTGTGTGTGTGTGTGTGTGTGTTTTAATTTTGTTATTGTTGTGCTGGGTGAGGGTACATTGTGGCATTTACAAATGTCCTTATAATATATCAAATATATCATACTCAAATTCACCCCCTCCATCATTCTTCTTTATCCCTCCTCCCCGCATTGATTTTTTTTTTTTGCAGTGCTAGCCACAGAACCCATGGCCTTACACATGTTAGGCAAGCATTCTACCACTAGGCTACATCCCCACCATTGAGTTTTGGTTTTGTTTTTGTTTGTTTGGGTTTTGGTTTTGGCAGCAGTGCCTTGTTATGGAGCCCAGGTTGGCCTCAAACTCATGATGCTCCTACCTCAGTCTCCCGAGTGCTAGGATTACCAGAAGTGCGCCACAAGACGTAGCTGCTGTTCATTTTATGAAAATTATTCTCTCTCTTTTCATTTTCATCCTTTAGATATTATCTGTTAGTATATAACAGTTACAATAGCATATGTCTTTTGGGTCATAGTGCTTGAAAAATACACTAAAAATAATCAGATTTTTATTTGTTTAGTTTGCTCAATAAAGTAGGAAAATAAAATGTCAGCCTTGACCTTTACCCCTTCTCTTTCCATTTTAATTCCCATGCCATTGCATTTGTTCTTGGAGCTTTAAATTCCACCTCTATGTGTCTCCCAAATTTCTATGCCCAGCCCAGCCCTCTACCCTGAACTCCAGATCTTTATTCCCAACATCTACTAGATATCTCTACTTGGATGTCTCATAAACCTCCCAGTATTATCATATCAATGTCAAGCTCTTGAACTTCCCCCCAGCTTTATCCTCCCACTGCTAGTCAATATCAAGTTCATCCTTCTACTTGCCTAGGCCCCAAAAGTTGAAGTCACCTTTTCTCCCTCTCTCTCTTTCTCTCTCTCCATCTCATTCTCTTTCTTCACATTCAACAAATTAGCTAAAGCTATCATCTCTATCTTTACTATCCTTGGGATCCAAACATTTCTCGTTATCTTATGATCCTGATTCAGTGCTATCATCATTGATCCAGCTCCATCAACAGTCCCTGTCTACTCTCTTGGTCTCACCCCTGACTTTCCTGCAATCTGCTTTACACTAAGCAGCAAGAGTGATGATGCTTTGTGTTTGTCATCAGCTCAAACTCTCCAGTAGCTCATCACCCACTTCACATAGGAGTAGAAGTCCCTATCATGGTCCCTAGGACCCCACAGCATCTGGTCTTCTCCTACCACCCCTCCTTCCTCTCTCTCTCTCTTCCAACTTCAGTAGCCTCCTCACTGTTCCTGACTGAAGACTTTTAGTGTTGATTATTTCTGCTTGAAATGATTTTGTCCAACTCTTTCATCAACCTTGATTCTCTGCTAAACTATCAGCTTCTCTGTTACCTGGCCATACTATTTAAAACTGCACCCCTCCCAACATTTCCCATCGCCATTCTTTGCTTTGTTTTTCTCCCCAGAACCCATGCTATGTTTTCCTTGTATGTTTGTTTTTGTCCATTTTCTTCCTCTATATGTTGTCAGTTCCTTGAGGACCAGGATTCTTGTCTATTTGGTTTGTAGCTGAATCCTAGCATCCAGGGCTTGGCACTCAATAAAAAGTCACCAAATACATATGCAATGAGTGAAAGGAAGGAAGGTGGGAGAATGGCAGAGTGAGAAGCACTATGGCATTGAAGTACAGTGTGTGGGGATGATTGCCAGGAGAGAAGATGAGAAGTACATCCTGGCTCTCCTCAGAGAGTGAGCAAATGGAGGGCTTCAGCTGCCAGGATGAAAATTGTTTTGCACAAGCAAGTATCTTGATCAGACATTCTGACTACCATGTGGAGAACTATGATGCACATTTTAAGGAAGTAGTACATAAGTTAGCAAGCTGTTACATCAAAGGCCCATCAAGCATGTATGTTTTGTTTCCTCTATAAACTCAAACCAGCTTGAGGAATTTAGGGGCTCATATAGCTAAAAGACTGAAAATCAAATGTGACTTCAGGCATGGCTTGATCCAGGACTCAATGCTACCAAGAGACTCTCTTTTCTTTCTTACTCCATTTTTTGTTTTTCACTCAATTGTCAGTGTAATCCTCGGGCCCCACATGGCTACCAACCCTGCATCTTCTCTCTCAGAGCCTCTGAGAAATTCTCATGACTTTCCACTGCCTCATATGGAGTTCATGCCCATTTCCCAGGCAATTATGGTGGTCTGGGAGTGGAATGATTGGTTGACTTAGATTAGGGTGCACACTTCACCCTTGTGCAAAATGTTGGGGAGCAGTTGGTTTTCCAGAGGAAACTTAGGGTGTAACTTATATAAGAAAAGGGGCATGGAGGCTGGTAATGGCCAACAGATGACTGCTACAAAAGGGTGGTGAAGGCTTGAACTTAGGTCATTGCAGTTGGGATGGAAGGGGGAGGAAAAAAGAAGCAGAGATGAAATCAAGTGGACATTTTGGCTCTGAACAGAGAGGGGAGAGGACACAGAGAGGCTAAAAGACAGCTCTGAGAGTTTGAGCTTGTGTGACGAAGGTTTGGCAAAGTCTTTAATGAAGATTCAGGATGAAGTAGGAGAAACAGATTTATGAGAGAAGGAAAGCATTTTCTTGCTTTTTCATCCTTGTTTTTATTAATAAGATTGTTTCCAGCTTTTCAGAGCTTAAGAACAATTGAGTTCTGCAAGAGGCAGAAGGCAAATTCTTCCACCAACCACTGATTCTCAGAAGACGTGTCCCTGTGGTTTTTTTTTACAAAAATCTTCTCTCTGAGCCTATATGTGAGAGAATGAGACAGAAAATTTGTTTTCTCTCAATGGTTTGAGTTTCTTCTGGTTGCAACATTTATGGAGTAGAAAACCATCACTCAGAGCGAGTTGGATTCTATCTTCTCCCGTGGGACATTTCCACATGGGTAACTTAGAGCCATTTTCTAATGCACCATGAGTTCAGCTTAGACAAACATGGTGTGCTCATCTATATAGTTCTAGGGGATGCCTGTGCAATTACCTAGCAAAAAAAATGTTAATTGTTGCTGGACTAGGGTGCAAGAAAGGAGAGAAAGCGGTTACTGAATGATCATGACACATGCACAGAGAGTGCAAGCTTTGTTTCTTTTCGGGTGTTTTCCATTGACCAAGTACTATTCTAAATTCTCAACCAAAAATGGGTCATTTAATCACAATCACCAGTCTGTGCAATGAGAGAAACTTTTACAGATTTTACAGATGAGGAAGCCAAGACTTCAAAAGGTCTTTGTGGATATACCTTGTCACAGATCTTGCAGCTAATACATGGCAGAACTAGAATTCAAGGCCTCTGGTTCTTAATAAATTGATTACCTGCTCCAAAACTGCCCAAGACGGTTTTGTGCTTGTTGTCTTGGCATAATTCAAAGTCACTCTAGAAAGTGTCCCCAACTTGGACAGTAAATTATGGACACCATTTAAATCTCTTAACCATGATTATTTGCTCACACAAAGCCACAGTTTCTTCTAAGAATGAAACCAGCTTTATGGGTTGGTGTAGGTTTGGTTTTAGCCAGTAAACTGCTGTTTTTTCATGACTTTTTCTAAATTTTTTATTAGTGTGTATTAATTGTACAAAGGGGCTTCATTGTGACATTTCCATACATGCATATAATGTGCCTTGATCAAATTCACCCCCTATCACTCTTTCTTCTCACCCTCCTTCTTTTAAAAACAATTTTAACTAGTTTTATTATTTTATTTTCACATTTGTATATGAAATACTTCGATCATATTTAACCACCCCCCATTGCCCTCTCCTTTCACTTTCTCCCTTCCTCTAGTTACTCCCTCCCAAACAGTCCCCATTTTACACTCATGTCTTTTTTTAAGTCTAGATTCTGCATATGAAAGAGAACATGTGATATTTGTCTTTTTCAGTCTGGCTCATTTTACTAAACATGATAATCTCCAGTCCCATCCATTTTCCTGTAAAAGACATAATTTTCTTCTTCTTTATGGCTGAATAATATTCCATTGCACATAAATACTACATTTTCTCTATCTACTCATCTGTTTATGAGTATCTAGGCTGATTCCATGGTTTGGTTACTATGAATAGGACTGCTATAAACATGGCTATGTAGGTGTCTCTCTTGTATGCTGACTTACATCCCTTCAGAATAAGACTCTTGTTTTGTACCATCATAAAGTTTACAAAGCCATGCTTGCCTCTTTCTGGAATGGTTCTATTTATGCCTCCACATTTGGCTCCTCCAGGTTCCCCCAGATCTCCAGAATGAAGTGCTGATTAGCCTGTTAGAGACCGACCCTGATGTTGTGGACTATTTACTCAGAAGGAAGGCTTCCCAATCATCGTGAGTATGCCAGTTTTCCATCTTCTGAAGCTAACTTGGGGGTTTCTCTTTCTTTTTCTGAAGAATTAGAAATGCTTACATAACTCCATGCAGGGTGACTAAAATGGAATTTTGGCAACTCTCTGGCCTCTCTGATCTCTCTACCTAACCAGAAAATGTTTCAGTCTTACCAATCTACTTATCAAATTAGAAACCACTTTATAAAACTTTTCTGGCCCATTTTCAGCTTTCTCTAGCTGTATGGGTTGGTAAGTTCTTAATGACTGTGCTGACTGGGAAAAACCCCTAAAATTGTTGGCAGAAAGCTTAAGGGACTATGATACCCATCATCTCACATAGTGATTCTACTTCTAGAATCTCAGTAATGATGCTTAGGGCCTGTAAGGCAGCAGCTGGAGGTGTCTTACTTGTGCAGCCTTACCAGTTGGGAGCAATGCTTACCAAACCATAAGACAAGCCTTCACTGAGGCCTGGTGCCCATTGGAAATGAGAGGTGTGCACTTTCTTGGCTCTCCCATTCTTTAAAGTCAATATTCTTTTGATGAAAATGCATGCTGGTCTCTACGATTCACCCACGTTTGCAGTGAGAAAAATGCAAACCATGACATAGGCTATGATTTGCCTCCACTTGGCCCCTAAAAGAGCACTAAATTTTTGCATTTGACTGATTTTTTGGTTAATCTCAATGGTTACTACAGAGCCAGAAGCACTATCACCTCCATGATACCAAGCCTGAAATTTGTGACAGGAAAAGTTGCTCCTGTTCTCTTATTAGACGGTCCCCTTATGTTATGCATTTGGCTTACTGAATTTCAGCAGTTCTAGGACATTTCCCCATGAATTTTATCATCTTTGAAACTGAGATTAATCTTACAATCAATGGCATGTCTTAATTCCTAGGATTTTTTTTCTTTTTCTTAGTCACAAATAAAATAATGATGTGTCTTAGAAATGACAATACATGTTAAATTATTCCTATGTACTAATATCAAAGCTGATGAATTAATTTGCACTTCCAATTATTTCAGAGAATTTAAAATTAAATTATTTAGAGAAATTTTATGAAAAGGAATTTCACATTGTTCAGCCCCTTCCTTCCCAGGTCATTATATTAATAGCTCTGCTAAATTCAGCCTCACCCCATTTCTAGCTAAGCAGGGAAGGTCTTGTAATTGGGTCACCCTTTCAAACACACTTTAAAAAGTCCATGTCTCAGCCAATGATTATCAAGCCAAATTCTGATTCAAATAAGATGTTCTGCTAGGATTCAATCCCCAAGAGCCATGAGTGAATAAAAATATCTCCAAAATATAAATGGCTGGCATTTCATGGCCTTGCTTTTTATATCAGAGAATTGGGCTTGCACCTTACGTTTTACTAGATTTGTAATTATTGTCAAGATATAGGTTCTAATCTAAACTAACAAATGGGTTTTTTTTTCAACAGCTCATGTGCTACTAGAATTTTAATGAACTCACTTATTTCTCTCCCCTGTGCTAGAAGACAGACATGGTGGCATGTGTATTTGTGAATATCTCATTAAGGCACACTTAAAACATTTTGTTAGTACTCTATGGGAAAGCTAGAAAATATACACCCAACACATTGATTTTTGACTAGGGAAATTTCTCCTTTTCTGTGACATTATTAGATAGATACATTTCGTATTTTGAAGAACCATTGATATGAATTATTTTTGTGTGGTTTTCAAATATGCTTTTGGCATATAAATGCCAAAGTAAGAACTAAACCTTTCTTTCTCTGCTCTTAAAAAGAGGAAGTAGTGTACATATTCAACCCATGTCAACCCGTACAGTGGTGCAGTCTCTTTTGACCCCTGTCCCTGTAAGAGTAGGAAATAGAATTGTATTGTCTAAATGAGCTGACCTGAGACCCAGGACTTAGGTGAGTGTCAGGGCTTCAAGGATATGAAGGTGAGCTCCCATGAGTCTGTGGTTGTCAGGGAAGAGTGTTATCAGAGAACAGAAGCCATTTGGCAAGACTGACCTCATAGAGAGGAGAAAAGAATAGGTTTTTGTTTGTTTTCCTTTAGGTACAAGCCAAAGAACAGTCCAGAAGGCTGATGATGATGCCATGAAAGTAGAAGTATATCCATTAATGAAAGGGTGTTTATTTTTGGTGGCCTTTTGAGTCTTGAGCAGTAGATCTTCTCATTGTGCCTTAACATATGCTTCCCAAACTTTACTGTCCATACAGAGCACCCGCAGATCTTGGTAACATGCTCCTCTTTATCAGTAGGACTGGGGAGCAGGTCTGAGAATCTGCATTTCAGACTCGTAGGTGATACTGGTGTAGTTGGTCCAAGATCCACAGTTTCAATAGAGGAAGCTTAAACATCCAGTGCTTGCCAAGCAAATGCTCTACCACTTGAGCTATAACCCAGTCTCTTCTTATTTTTAGTTTATTTTCAGGTAGAGTCTCCCACTTTTACCTGAACTAGCCTCAGGCTATGGTCCTTCCATCTCTGCCTCCTGAGTAGCTGGGATTATAGGCGCATGCCACCATGCCTTGTTCCCGGGACAATGGGAGTTTTAAAAACTCCTCACATGCTGCTGATGAGAAGGCGAGGCTAAGACCTTCTGACTCAGAACAACCTCATTGGATACTACATATTCACAGTCACACAAAGACATAAAATAAGTGTTTTGACCTTCAATAGATGTCTTTGTGTTCACAAGGGAAGGGAACCAATGTTCCAGATCACTTGGAGTTTGGAGAAAAGCAAGAGGGGTGACTTGCGGTCTCAGGGATGATTTCTGAGAAGAGGAAGGAGTTGCAGTGAACTTGGATGATGATGGAGGTGTTTGGAGAGAAAGCCCCAAGGCCTGCCCATAACAGAGAACATATCAGCCGTCTGGGGACACTCCCTATTTAGAGGCTGTTAAATAGCAGGCTGGGGGTGGCACTTAAATTAAAAAGTAGTGATGAAGGGTTAGAGGGGCAATAGATTACCATAACCATAGATTATAGTGATGGCAAATTACAGTACCCTAAACTGACACATGGCACTGGTTCCCATTGGATGCCAGTTATCCATCGATAACACCTGCTCCTGAGGTTTTACACACTAGTTACAAACTTCAAGTTTAGAGCCAGATCTCCTACATCCAAATTCCAGCTCTACTGCTTTAGTTGTGTAATCTTGAGTAACTTTATTAATGCCCCTCTGACTCAGTTTCCTCATCTGTAGACTAGAGATAAAAAGTAGCACCAACTTTACAGTGTCATTGTGCTCTTAGACTAGTATATGGTTTATAATAAAGACTTAATAAACGTTAATAAGTATTCTCAAGTTATTTCAAACTTCACCATTTGGTTCAATTGCAACTATTTACCAAAGACTTGGGCATCGCTGCATTCTGTTTTGGAGTCCAGCCAACCATTCAATATGGCAAAAGAGAACAGTCATCAACTTCAAGTTGTGGCATTGTGTCTAAAAGCAAAGCCCCTTATTCATTGCAGAGGCTTTGACTTTTTTTCCCTGACGCGCCTGTTCCTTACTCCAGTCCACATACCTAAATAAAGCTTTAGGGATTCCTGGAGGTCAAGTGGAAACTGCACAAGATTTAATTTGGAGAGGAAAAGAAACGAGTTTTCAAAAGAGTATAAAACCAAGAACAAGAAAATGTTTATTATTATTTCTGTTTTGAAAGAGCAAACATTTCATGATATTTGGGAACTTAGTGGGTTTTTTTGATTTGGGTTTTCCCTTCTTTATGCAACATCAGAATTGCAGGAGTGAAAGGAGAATTTATCATTTTTTCTTATGCTTGTCTACTTAATTTTGGCTTCAACCAAAGTGGGATGCCAAAGGGAGATTAGAAGAGATTCTTAGTGCTAAAGATGCCAGACTTACAGTTTTTAAATCGCTTGTCTGGTGTATTTATTAGAGTTATACACTCTTTTCCTCAAAGGTCTTAAAATAGATCCTCCCCGCTTTGACTCAGGAATGTGAAAGAATAGCAGAAGGGGTGGAATGCTGATCAAAGAGAACAAGATAGGTTGAATGTAGGTGTTTGCTATAGAACCAAGGTGCCATGGCAGGTCAGGGACAAGGGGGAGGCAAGAGAGACACTGCCTGGATACAAAATTTAAGGGGATACCAAAGACTCAGTAAGCAACACTAACTATATTGCAGTGCAGTATCTTACAAAATTCAAAGTTAATCCCCCAAACCAACGATGAAAAAAAAAATCAACATTTGAAAAGGACTAGTGTCATGCTTGGCCTACTAGAGCCTGAAGCCAAAGGTGGAATGTGTGCCCCTGGTTTAAGTGGAGGAAACTCATCAATCATTATCTTCAAACCTCCTTTGCTCATCTCTCTTTTTTTTCTTAACCAAGAGAATCACTGTGTTTCACGGTTTCTCTCAATCAACTGACACTCTTACATAGTTTTAAATTAAGTTAACCTAAAATAAGGTAGTGATGAATTTATCTTGGTATAAATACAGCATTTAAGTTTAATATAATTAAAAGTTCTAATATATCTACTTTTCTTTTTTTTTTTGGATAGTTTTTGACTACTTTAATGTTCTAGGGAAAATTAACCATACTTAAAATTATGACTGTAAGTCTGCACAGTTTTTGTTTTGCCCCAGGTGTTGTACATTTCTAGAATTCTGCATAAGGGATGCTTTGCAGACCTGAGCACAGTTAGGGTAAAAACACTTCATAAATCCAGAGCTCAGGATAGCCGAGCAGAGCTCAGACCATCTGTGACCTGGGAACTCATTCCAACACCAGTCTTTATAATTTTTAAATGTAGACTTTAGAAAATGTGTAAAAAAAAAAAAAACCTTGCTTTTATTCCATCAAACCTCATAGGTAGCCCAGAAATATAATTCCCTAAAACTAGGTGGAGCACCTTCTCTACTATTTTATGGAAACAATGTCAGAGCAAAACAAATTTAGCTGCATTGGGATGAATCAAATTTATAAGTACATATTTTAAATTTTCATTGTGGTTAATATTATTAG